AGGGGGGGGTTGATCTTCATGATACAACAGATTCTGAATAACGCGCAATATCGCATGCCCAACTGGAAGGGGAAGAAAAAGAAGAGAGGAAGAAAACCATATGTGCAGCTGTAAAGGGGGATGGGAGAAAAAGGATAGAGGGATCTGCACATTTGGGTTGCGGACGTAAAAGTTTTGGTGGTTTCGTTTCCCGAGTTCATTTATTCAATAACAAGGATAAAAAAGACAATAAATAATAAATAAAGAGAGAACGCAATTCCCTATGAGAGAGATATACGAATATTTTATATCAAGAAAAAAAAATGGAAGAAAAAGGAAGGACGATAGTTCGTTTCCGCTTCCCTTCCTCCAGATTTTAAGTAGCGGTCTTACCGCCGCAATCGGGGATTTTCAAGCCTAGTTTCAAGACGCGGTCAGGGCCCATGAGACCCCACTTATCTTCCCATTCCTTATTTAGTTCGGGTTCGTTAAATACACTCTTCCAGGGCTCATCGAAAGCTTCGAACCTGTTTTCATGTTGAATCGTTAGACGTACGATTGTTCGGGGATGTGTTTGTAAAGCACAGGCCCCTGTGCGGAAGTGAAATGCAGGTAAGGAGGAAGACATGAGGGATAACCGGGATAGATGATGAAGGATGGAAGGAAAAGAAGAAAACAATAAAAAAAAAGAGAAAACTTACCAAAAATAATCCGTCCCATTCGACAGGCTCTGGCACACCCAATCCGCCATGAACTGGTTTAACTCAGTAATTCCGGCAATGGAACCAGCAGTTTTACTAGGACACGGATTGGGATTACAGTTGTTGCCTCCACCACTAGGCCAGCCGACTTCAGAAATTATTTGCGGAGTATTGGTGCCTTTCGTCAGGGGCACGTTGTGACCCTGCCAGAACGTCCATGTCCAACTGGCCGCGTCCTTGACCGGCACACCCGCGAAGAACGGGTGCACGTTCGCCATAACGGCATCGGCTACCCTAGCTAGTTCAGGGGTCCAGTCATCGCCCAGATCAGAGGTGGCAACAGGCATATCAGCACCCATAGCCTTGAGCTGGGACTTGACTTCCTGCATGTATTTTGACAGTGTGGCAATCGTAACATCAGCTGGTTCGCTGTTTTTGGCGCGAAAAAGAACTTCGTTGCCGACGATAACCCCCTTGAAGATGGATCTGTCTTTTGCTTCTCTGACAATCTTGTACAGCTGCTTGATCTGGCGCTCGTTTGTGGTGGTGTTTGTATCAATCCAAACGCCCAGCCAAAGCTTCATATCTTTCAGTTCCAGCCGGTCAATCGCATGTAAAACCATCTCTGTCTGGTTGCAGTCAGTACCGTAAAGGCGAACCGTGTTCGTTAACTGAGAGAGAACGGCCATGTCGCGAGTAACGTTATTTTGACTAGGAGGGTACTTGAGGCATAACGGGTATTGCGTGCCCCAGGGGGTATAGTCCATTCCTGGGAAAACTTTGTGCAAGCCCTCCATTGCCATCAGCTTCTTGATCTCCGCTGACCCCTTCCCAAGGTCCCCGTTTGCTTGTCTATCGTCCTCAGCTGACTGTCCAGCGCCGCCGCCGCTGCCTGAGTTACTCTTTCGAGAACCCAAAATGCCACCGACGATACCACCGGCGATACCACCGATCAATATTAGCGCGATTAGAACAGTCACAATCCATTTCATTTTTTTCTTCCCGTGCTTTTGGTTATTTAGCCATTCACTCTTCTCAACAGTGACAGCGTTGAAATTGGGTTTTCCATCACCACCATCTGTACGTCCCGAAATGTTTCCCAGCATTCCCCCGCCAACGGCAGCTGCACCTGTAGCAGGAAGGCTGGTATTACTAGAGTTTTTCCCAAGGCTTAGCATTGATCGTCTCTTGGGCTCTGGCATGAAACCATCGTCTCCGTCATCGATGATATCATTAGGGTTAATAATCTCGGGATTCACAGGTCCCCACGAGTTATGGTGAGGTCGTGGATAAGGGTCGTCATAGAAGGCCCCCGCACCTCCATGCTGGGCTGATTGATGGTACCCGTTGTTGTTCGAGTACAGGCTTCTTTGGCCAGGGGTAATTTGTCCAGGGTCATCCATTGATGAACCTAAACCGACATTAGACGAATATGGGTCACAGGCACCGAGAGGTCGAGAGGGGCCCATGCGGCCAGTTTCTCTAGGAGAAAAAGCATAGGGGTCATCCGAGCCCATTGTATGTCCGTGTCCACCACGTCTAGGCGGTCCATAGTAGTATAAGTTCTGTTCCATGCTATCCTGTCCGCCTGCCATGGTGTCGAGTCCACGCTGGTGTTCGTTTGACGAATGTGCTCCTCCAACAGCGATACCCGCGATTCCGGCGCCGGATGCAGCGGCCCCCCAATCACCTCTTCCAGGAGTGGCTGTCGATGCTGTCCGCGAAGATTGGGTATAGCCCGGGTCTCGTGAATCTACTGCTTTTCTTTGGGGGTGAGAGTGCGGTATGGAATCGGGGACGGTATGGTAAAAGGGGGAGGCGAAGGAAGATGGTGGTTGGGGATCTTGAGATCCCCCGATACGCTGAGTTCGCAGCTTGCTATAGGCGCTATCTGGATGTGCAGCAGGATGTAAACGAGTGACTAAGAGAGGGGAACTGGGTGAATTAGAGGACGGAGAAGGATGTGGATGATCGCCGTAGAACGAAGGTTGAGAAGAAGCCTGCGGCGACATCTGGCTGCGAGCTATGGGCTCGTGATGGGTGACATCGTCGCCAACATCATTATGGAAACGGTAAGCCATGTGGAGTAGAGTTCTGGTTCACGGAGGAGTCCCAAGTTTGAAATTCGATACGTTTGGGGCTGGTTTCCAGTGCCAAGCGAATCAACAGAGAGAGGTTTCAGAATTGCCGTGGTTAAGATTTCCGTGCCAACCAGGCCTCCGCCAGGTCCGCCGCCACACCAATCAAAAAAAGGTGATACCGAGCCAGGCCCGATTGCGATTAGGGGACGATGACGAGGCAGAGCGTTGCTGTGAGTG